AAGTTTTTTTAATATCATGCTAGCACAGGCCCGTCATATGCATCTTCAGTGAACTCGACTTCACTTAAACTTAGTCTACGGCCAACCACCTGTGCGTACTATGTAGTTGACATGTTACACGGAAATATTTTGAATTCAAAAAAAAAAAAAAAAAAAAAAAACATGAGTATGGGAAAAACATACTTTATTAGGAAGGTAATGGTGGGGGGGTGTCAGGCGGAACCCTGAAAAAAAATAACGAGTGTTGGTCTCTTTTCCACATTCCGCCACCCCGTTGCAAGAACCTTTGAAATTTAACGAAATCTATAAATTCTACACGGGCACATGGTGTAGTTGGTTATCACGCCCGCTTAGCATGAGATGAAATATAACTGTCACCATTCTGCGGGCGGTCCCCGGTTCAATTCCGGGTGTGTCCACTATTACATTCCGTTCATCTCACCTTTTTCCTCAAAGCTCTGATCAAATTCCACAAATTTTTTTTCATAATCACATCCAGGGTATGTGAAATTGCATTTATTTTTTTATGAAACGAAAAAAGAAATACAAGAATCTCCTTGACGTCTGTTAGTCAAGGGATCCTTCACTTTGCCTTGACACCTCGCCACTCGATCTCCGCCCGAGCGCCAACGTCTCGCCTCGCGTCGTTGACACGTTGAAACAACGTTCCCGACCATGATAGAGTTGGATCTTTGTCTTTCCCGTCTTCCCTAGCGCACGAGTAACGTGACTCGCAATATAAGATTACACGACCAAACAACGGCCCTTGACTTCTTTCCTCACAACTCGCCACTCCAAACTTGAAGCACGATGGTCAAACGCGCCAAATCGCCCGACGCAACGGACGATGTTCGATATATGACGGTGTATCAGCCCTACCCGATGAACGCCAACTGGGAGCTTCCCAGCGACGTTATCGCCTTTGCGTTTTGGATCGCAGGGTGTATTGGCGTCGAGCCACTGTTGGGGTTACACTACAAGCCCAAGGCGAGTCGTCTGCTTTGTAGAGCGGAAGAGGGATACTGACAGGTGAATGATAGGCACGGGGGATGGTGCTACTGGAGATCGACAAAGCCTACCCGGAGCACGAACGCCTTCTCGGCGAACACCACTAGATCGAGTTCTTGAAGAACCCAAGGGCAGATGA